ATGGGCAAGGAGCTTGCTCGTTTGGAGCTTGCTCGTTTGGCCGGTGTGTGTGTGTGTGTGTGACAAGCCCTTCAGCCAGGCCCTGTAAACCATCACGTTTGTCTTCCATGGCTATCACCCATACAAGGATTGTTTCGTTATTGTGTAAATGTGTGTGTGTGTGTTCCTTGTGGTATTGGACAGCTTTTTTCCGTGTGAGCAAAGTCGGTTTGCACTTGCTGAGCTGGTTCCGTCGTTTTGCTGGTATCCTGATTCTGCAGTCTTTTCGTGCCAAAATGAGATGCATGCCTGGAGGAGAAGTAGTGTGCGAGGCAACAGGAACTCTTGCCCCTACCACAAGTCGAAGAAGGGCATCAGAGATAACGCATTATGTCAATTCATCACTTAGGTCTTCCAGCGGCTTCGGTCAGCGCGCGCTTTTTAGGCCCTAGGCCTTGCGCAACCTTCGTTGTGTTTTGCCGCACGGATGGACGGATGGAAAAGGGCGCAGCGAGTGAGAGGAGTGGCCAACATATATTTCTGAGGAAGTGCCGGGCAAGCCCAACGCCTACCGCAACTTCTTCCCAGGCCGCTTGAGACGGGAGCTGTGTGAAAGGCTTGGGGCCCTGATTGGATGGGGTTTATGAAAGTGGCCACCTGCGCCAGAAGCCAGCGTATGAAAGGCATGGCATTGTGGCTAGATCCGTTTGGAGCTGCCAACTGGGGGCTGGAGTGGCAATGGGCTCAGGATCTTCTGGTTGCATCCAATGAGCATTGTGGACACAGTCTGCAACAGAAATCGATAGTTGAACAAAGACCCGAGCCCCACGTTGTTGTATTCCAAGCTTGTACAAACATCCTGGCAAAGACCATGTGCACTCACACTGCCCGTCTTCACCATGACTGGTTTTATACCCAGCTCAGCAGTTGTGGGTAGATTTGCACAAGTGGCGCTTCTGGCGACTGACCGTGAAGCGAAAATCGTGGATTTGCTGAAAGCTGAACACGCTGCCAAACACATGCCATGGCTGTCATGTCGATGGTTTCAACCATAGAATGCTCGGACTCTATGCCACATACTATGCTTGGAAAGAGTCCGATGATGCTCCTGCCTGTTTCCCTTTCTCTCGGGAACCTGTCTTCTGACTTGTCAGTTACAAATCAGTACATTGGTGGAACGAAGAAACAGGTAGTGCCGTACTTGGATACAAATCTGCTATCTAATCTCCGCGTCACTACGTGCCTTCTGCTGACTCAAGATTGCAGGCCTACCCGGGAGTTGTTTTCGGTCCATCTCTCACTCGAGCGGTCAGTGTCGGGAGCAGTCCCTTTGGCTCAGGCGCCACGCACTACACGCTTGGCACAGCAGGACGGGAGGAGAAGTCTTATTCAACAGGCGGACGTTGAGCAAGCCAAAGTCTCCACAATGAGGAGAAGGCCTTGTTCAACTTTCATGACAGTCGAGAAGTTTTGTCAGAACACTGAGTCAAGCCTTCGCATCGGTGATTTGCTAGTTTTGCTGCTTCCGGGCGGCACCTTGGTAAAGGAAATGTGTGCAGTTGGCGGACTGCTCCCTTTTTGGAAGAAGAGTGCAGTGTTTGGACAAGTTGTTGTTTGTTCCCTTTCAGAGGCATACTAAAGTTGTATTTTTGCTTTGTCGATTTCGCACGGGGTTAACATATGCGCTGGCCAGTTTCTGCATTCAAGATGCGACCAAAGGTTCCTGAAGCTTGTGTCTCCTCATTTTGTCCAACACTCTCTGGAATAAAATGTACTTGGGCCCCCTGAACAATTTTGTTTGCAAGATGAGCACAATAAACAAAAACAAAAACGGGCAGCTCTGGTTGGACCTTGGGCAACAGCATAAAATGTCCTCTTCTCCTCGGACACCCTCATTGTATATCCGGCCCAATTTGGAACAGGAAAGAGCGATCCTGGAGCACGCAGGCACCATGCCTGCAACTCGCCTGAGCCGCTCGCGAGGCCCGGAATTTGTGAATCTGGAAGTGTGGCAGCCCTTCTCCGAGAGTCCCCCAGACAGCGGGGGGCCCAGGACGTGCCGCAAGACATGCATTTTCCCGGCATTGGTCGGCTGGTTCCGGTGAAAACAGGATCAACGTCGATGCTGAACTTAGGCTCTGATTGTTCAGGAGGTAAGGACACACGAGTTGTTGCACCCTTTGTAAGCCCTTCTCATTCTCTCAATGCAGGCTCTGCTAGCCGACTCTGCAGTTACCTTGAGTTTGTTCAGAGGGATACTCTGCAGAAGCCTGCGTGTTTTCTACCGTGAATGCTCGGGGGGCAAGACATCCAATGCCGAGTACTCCAGTTCGCCTTTCCAAGCTGGTACGACCTAAGGACCAATCAGGCTTTACAGCACTTCAGTGTATTGAGATCTGCTTTGGGAAAGCTTCATTCGTGAGCCCTTCATAGACAAAGGTCATACTTTGCGGGTCCAGGTACCTTCGTGGCCTCCCAGACTGTTAGTTGAGGCGCGGTGTGTGCCAACATTCGGGGGGCGCTGCTCAACCTCTACCGAAACCAGCTGCATCGCGTGGCAGTGACCATCCGGAATGTAGGTGGCTTGGCAAGAATTCGATGCGAGGCATTCGGCAAGCCGGTCGTGCTCCCAAAGCAAGGGGGCTGGTTCACTGAAGAATTCGGAACCTTGCTCACTCACCCTACATTGACCCTACAGGTGTGATTTCTGGTGGATGTGTCGTGATGCTTTGCAACGCATGCAGCCAACAAACTGGGGGTGACTTGATATGGCAGAGTGTCAGGCTGGAACGGGGTCGGGACGAAGAAGATTTGCGAGCCGAACCAGGGCTGCCCCACTGTGATGCTACTGGGTGCCAGTCAATTTCCGCAGAGGGTGCCCTGGATGCACTCGTCCCCACGTCACGCTGTCTATTTTGTCGGAGGCGACCCTTCCTATGATTTTCGGGATCCAAAAAATGTGCAATTGATTTTGCTTTTGGCCCGCCCCCCAAGGCGACACTAAAGGATGGTCGCGATGCTCAAATCAGAATGATCTCAAACTGGTTTGCACTTTGCTCAGCCTTTTGCTTTGATTGAATGTGTCTTTTTGACACCATCCAATACGGGATTTCCAATATTGGCACGTACCCATTTGACGCAGCCTCACTGAACACTTTTCCGCAGGCTGGGGGAACACTGCGACGCTAGTTTTGGCCCTTGGGAGGGAGGAGAGTTCCATGCTCCATGTTTGACCATACCATGCAACATGGAAGCAATTGTGATGACATGAGGAGTTTGTGATTTTCACGACTGAACCTACAGCGTGGAGCGTTAAGCTATGTGATGCGGTGTGTCCTCTGAGGTCTTTGCAGACCGTGCGCTGCCACTGAACCATTTCATGCAAGAGTACCTTCAGACCAAGCTGATGCGGCTCCAGGATGTGCCATGACTTAGGGATAGAGTTTTGCAGGGGTCATGCATTTGTTTGGGAGTGGAGTGGGCGTGAAAGGGCCCTAATTTGATCCCTGATCAATGCATGATCGCTCATTCGGCATGAATCAAGCATACTTTTTACATTGGACAGCAAGAACAATTTCCAGCACGCGCTAGCTTGCGTGAGGCATTTTTTTTGCGGCTTGAGTCACTCCTGGGAATGGGTGTTTTTATTTTGCTTAGCCCTGTCTTTTGCTTAGCCCTGTCCGACCCGGTTGGTTGGTTGGTTGGTTGGCTGGCTGGTTGGCTGGTTGGTTGTTTGGTTGGTTGGTTCTGGGCGTTTCGGCCTTCGGAACCGATTTCCGGATGGGGCATTAGTCACTCCATTGCCTGGCCCCCCGAAAGAGCAGCGCACAAAGCCCACTCTGTTTTGGACTTCGGGGCACGAGAAATTAAAGCCACCAAAATTATCATCATTTGACATGCTGGGCCGCCAGTTCGCGGGGGGGGTGTGCCTGGTGCCTAGACACTATTGCTGTAGCGCAACAGTGTCTAGGCACGAGGCTTCAGCCAGACCAGCGGGTGCACATGGAAACTCAATCCTGGACGCCCTTGGCTGTCGCGTTGTACTATTGCTGTAGCGGAACAGTGTCTAGGCACCAGGCTTCAGCCAGTACCAGCGGGAGTGCATGGCTAAGAGTGGACTTGTGAATGCCAAACATACAGCAAAAGAGAGACACCCCCCGCGCGAACTGGCGGCCCAGCATGTAAGTGATGATAATTTTGGTGGCTTTAATTTCTCGTGCCTTTTATTCTCCAGAAGTCGGTCCCGAAGTCCAAAACAGAGTGGGCTTTGTGCGCTGCTCTTTCGGGGGGCCAGGCAATGGAGTGACTAATGCCCCATCCGGAAATCGGTTCCGAAGGCCGAAACGTCGAGAACTGTTGTACTCTTACTGTCCAGAGCGCGTCCCAACCAAGTAGCTCCGGGTAGTGAAACTGAGCCCCAGAACGGAGACAGGGTTAAGCAAAAGACAGGGTTAAGCAAAAAAAACACCATACCCTCAGTCCTGCAGTAAGACGTGTTTGAGATCTTTTGGGTATCAAACAGTTTGTGAATGTGGCGCTGCCAATCATCGGTGCTCGATGGTGCCCAGATTGGTTGCAAGTGAAGGGGCAATGGACCTGGGCAATGGGCGAGGGCACTTGCAGGTGGAAGCAGCTTAACTGTGAAAGGAAGCCGTGTTCTTCAGTGGCAGCCAAAGCTACTACCAGCAGACTTCTTCTTTTTTTTTGAGAGAAGTAAATGTGGGCCATTGCCTCTGATGAGGGAGAGCCCATGAAGAACACAGAGGCATGCCTGGGAACTAAGTTGCAGCTTAGATGCAACAAAGGCAAAGTGAACGCAACTGTAATGCCCGCTCATCCCTCAGCCCCTCTACATGCAAACTTTCGTGACTGGTCTCTTGCTATGCGAACGGAACTTGTTGCCCAATGTTCCATTCCCTTGTTGGAAAATAAGTGTGGGCTTCTTGACTTGTAGAAGGGAAGCGATGGAACTTGTTTTTTTGTGGATATTCAGCCGGTTGAGCCGGATCACATGCCCTGGTTAGTGTAGATTTCGCAAGCCTAGGACTTTCCGAGCGTGGCCTTCTACCAGTACCTCTTCGATTCAAACTGGTAGCTTGGCCTTGCGGATTTGGCCGGCGTCCTATCCTTCCTGTCTTCAAAGCAAAGTTCACTTTGAAGCGGCCCAGAACTTAAGTGTGGAACATACTGATGAATCTGGACGGCCAGAAGGACCCAATCCACTGCCAGTTCAGCTGGAGCAAATGCTACAGATTTGCAGTACTTTAGCAGCACGAAAGTGAGCAATTCACGCAGAGCCATTCCCACAGCAGTAAGCATGGGATTTGACAATCGACTGGTGTGGCAGCCGAGGGGTCTGCTTCAAAGCACCTGTAGTCCTACACGTTGCGTTGAAGCAGCGAACCAGAAGCCTTGAGAGGGCCGCGCGGGTAAGCTGCTTTAACCCTCTCAGCGGCAACGCCATTTGACGGCAAGAAGCCGCAAGCAATCACTCGGCAGTGCAGCACGTGCCGAATGCGTATCCTCAACAATCCTTTTCGCACGCTTTTCGGGCGGTTGAGAGGTGCACCGGACTTCTAAGCCCGACTCATTCTGGAGTCCAATTTCCTTAGAAAGACGGATGCATCTGGGAGAACCCCAAGGTCATAGCACTCTTCCTGACCCCGTGATATATATATATATATATATATGCTCATTGAGTGACGGTCCATTCAGGAAGGCTCTACCGAAGGCTTTTTCGTGCAAGTTTAGACAAACTCGTGCAAGAAAGCCAGTGCTTCTTCCCTCGCCCCCTCCATTCTTTTTGTTTCAGCCATGGGAGACAGCCGAAAACCTGTCACCTTTTCGTGGTCCCTTTGCGAAGGGGTCCGGAATTTTGTGCCTCCCCTCAGATGCTTTGCTTTGGCCAGAAGCTCCAAGGGGCTATGATTTCGGCTTTGCACTCGAGTGCCGGAGCATGGGCGACCAAAGAAGGACTCCCGCCACCCACAAGCACGGCTCAGCTTTTGCTTGAGGATGGGGATCCCTTTCATGACGGACGTGCGGCTCATCGCTTTCAACCGTACCACCTTCGAGAACCTCAAGCTGCCGCTGCCCCCGCCCTATGGGCGGCACTGGAGTTGGCAGTCAGCGTTCGCGCCTCGGATGGTAGGGGGAAAGGGATTCAAAGCGGCGAGATCCTTGTGTTGTCTTTATATAAGGGATTTAGATAGCATAGGGAGTTCGATGCATAGCTCATGCATTTATGTGGCCATCTCAAGCTGAGGATGCAGCGTGCAGAATCAAGGATGAGTACGGCGTGCCAGGCGGGCGCTAAGTGGAAACACACTTGCGATGGCACACATGCCCACACTCCACATACGTTTGCTGACAAAAACTCTTCGTTGCTCTTCTCTATTGCACGTCCTGCTCTTTTGACCGTCTTGTTGGTTTGGCATGTGTGTACAGCGTGTGAGTGAACCTTTTCCCTTGGCTTAGCATGGTTTGATGCATTCCATTCCCATTACACGGCCCCACTCGCATAGTCTTGCTGCCCTGCCTTGGTCAGAGTTGAGACGCTGACAGTCAATCGCACGCATCCGTTGGATGAAACATTTGTTTGGAGAAGTAGTGCCCATTCGATTGAGTTCTCCACTGGGCTTCTGATCATGACACTCCTCATCTTGCATCCCATTTGTGCCCCGACATCAGGCCTGAATTGCAAATTCATGTGATATGTTTATTTTGGAGTTCCTCATGTTGGACTCTTCACCAAGCAAGTGAATGAGCAAGCAAGAAAGCACCCCGGTTCCATGCGGACCTTGTCTTTGGAACTCAACCTTTTGAGTTCACATCTCAGGGGCTAGCTTATGTTTGCTTTCCGCTCCTTTTTTATGTGTTTTGTGAGCGGGTAAAAAGGAAAGGACAAGGGAAGCAGAAAGGGAGATGCTTCACAGAGTTAAACCGCTGTAGCATAGTGAATGGAAAAGGGTTGTCGACATCTCCCACCCCATTTCTTCTCTCCGTCTCTTTCCTTTTCTCCTTGGTATCTCTTGTCGTGGAAATTGAGACAGAAAACCAAGAAAGGTGAGACGGCCCGCTGCATCGCTAGTTCTTCATTAATTGGCAGCGGGGACGAGATGATGATGAAAGGGAGAGAGACCCGTCCGCTCTCTATCTCCTGGGGTTCTAGAACTTCAAAGGATCATTGATGGGGCTCTCCTCCCTCTCGCGCCTGTATCTTGGAAATCCCTTGACTGGCGGCTTAATTCATGCATCCCTAACCGCTCGTCTCTACCCCTCGCTTCTACGTCCGGAGCAAACCATCCTAACTCTTGGGATTTCCCTTCCTGGCCGTGTAGAGTTAATCCGCCACTCCGTTCAACCCATGAAATTAAATAGGTTGCAAAGTACGCATGCCGGGTCTTGGTGAGGCTATAGAAGCGCATGGTGCCTGGGCTTGCGGCTCACACCGGCTACCATTCCCAGCCTTCGCAGGGCTGCTGGCGAACGCAGACTATGCGGAGGACTTCAAGTTCTTCACCCTGATGGTCCAGTCCAAGGGGAGCGCCCTGTACCGGGTCAGCGGCGAAGGCGGTTTGGGGGTGTGAGCAGGGCATGTTTGGGAGGGTGTTCGCTGGACAGTGTTCATTGCGGCCGGCTGTGAGGTTGAGGCCCTGCAGAATGCGTCAAACATGTGTTGCATCAAAATGTTTTGCAGGACTTCTGCACCACCAAATGGCTAACTCCTCATGGTTTCGCCCTTCCGTGAACTTGCGGAGGTTGGGCATGCGCAAGGCTTAGGGCTGCTAGTAATACGAAGTTGCTCATCCATAGATGGCTCACAACATCCGTGGCGTTTTTGAGACTGCACAAGTTGCCTCTTTCCGACCCAACGCTTGAAGAGCGATGCTCGAGTTGGTTTGGAGTTGATACAGAAGCAAGGGCTGGCGCTTGAGTAAAGCCAGATGAGCATTTGACCTTTTGGTTCCCCTTTTGTGTATTTTTATTCAGGGTTCCAAAAGGATATCCTTTTATTTGAAGGCCCTGGCAAGTGAGTAATACCACTTGATCCATGTCCTTCCGAAGGGGGCCAGCTGAAAGCTACTGGCACGCCCGAGTGGACTCGAGCGCGCAATCGGCCAGGAGACTCCCGGGTGGCGAAGAGCGGCTTGGGCTCCGAACAGGCCAAAGATGTCATGGAGAACTTCTGGAGCGCCGGGTCTGCGGGTCTGCGGGTCTCGGGTTTATGGCGAGAGAAGCTTCTGTTGTCGTTGGTTTGAGATCTTGGGGTAGGTGCACCACCCCTTTTAGTCTATTTTAGTGGGGATTGGGATGTTCACTGAGGGTACGGGCTGTTGACAAATGGCCACCTTGCTACGGTTTGGGTTTGGCATCCTGAGTTTCGGGCGGGAGCTAAGAGCTACCGTAGTTGCACATGCACGGTTTGTGCTTGACAGGCCAGCCGCTGGCTTCAAAAGATCAAAAGCAGCTACTCGAGCCAACGGACTGGAGTCATGTTCTGGTTCATGTCTGCAGCAAGGGTGCAACCCTGCCGCAGGATGCCCATCATCTCCAGGGGCTGCCATTGGGCTGCAATCAGGGAGCTGTTGCAGGAAGCTGCGTCTCTGGGGCAGAAGGATCAAGTTTTTCGCCCAAGTCTGGTGTAGAGAAAGAAGATGAGATGGAATCTTCCCTGTTGCACTTGCTGACGTGCAGAGGCTGGAATCGGCAATGTCGCATTCAAGACTTGCCAAGGTCAAAGGACAAAAACTCCCCATGGCAGGGTTCGGACTTTCATGCAAAAGGACACAACAGGAGCAACAGAAGCAGGCCCTTTCCCGACAGCTCGGTCTGTTGGAAGTGCCAGTTCAAGATGCATCCCCCATGGCCATACCCCAGCCTTCTGTGTTCCTTGCCAAGTGTAGGTTCGGATCACACAGGAGAACGGAATGACACACGATGCCCGCATGCTCTGCTAAAAGCGGCAGTGGGAATACAGGTGAGCAACTGGGAAACCGGTTCGTACTTCTTGTTGTTATTGTTTCGAAAGCCCGGTCCGTGTTAATTTCAGGCATGAGGCCTCTCCTTTCAGAGTGCAATAATTCTGAGCGCTCGCAAGACAGGGGTTGGGGCAAGATCGCTTTGAGAAACCAGGTCCAGTTCTTAAAGGAAAGCCGACTGGGACTTGTTCCAACACGGTTCGAAGTTCAAACAAGCCCAGCCAACTGCTCCCAGCTGGAAGCGCTGAGGCTTGCGGGCACACGATGGGGGTGCCTACTGGAAGGGTGTGGAACCACCCAGTGCCGAGCTGATTGACAAGATCCTTGGCGACAATGTGGCTGATTACCTCTTTCACACCTCACACGAACTTGGAATGTCCTGGTTAGCTGGTGTTCATTTGACAAGGTCCGAGTGGCCAAGCATTTTGTGGTGCCCCGTTTCCTCTTGGCCAGTCGAGTGGAGCCGATCCGCTGCACAAAAACTGGCTGCACTCGCCAGGACCTCCCAACAATGGCGGAAAAGGCTGGTCTATGACATGGCTGTGGGTCAAATTTTGGTACCCAAAATGGAATCCTTAAATGGAAACATGGCATAGTCCATACCCACATGTCTGAAGCAGTGGGCATAGAGACAAGATACGCTATCCAAATATGTTTGCTATCCGACTCACCGGCATCAACCATGTTGGTGCAAGTGAGTCCATGGACTGTTTCCGTGGGTCAGCAAGAATGGTCTTACAAGGCTACTCAAATCCTATTCGCTCTCTTGGCAAGGCACATCAAGCAAACGCGGGGTTTCGGAATGTGTCGAAGGGATCTGCTCCCAATGCATGTCCCTTTGCATGTAGCAGGCCAGTGATTCAGGCATGTGGTGGAAGCACAAGTTGCCAAGGATCCTCGACCCAGAGACGATCAACCCCATGCACCCGCCTAGAGTAGCAAGCTCGCGCCTGAGGAGATGCACATGAAACCAATGCCTCATGGATCCCTTTTCGGTACTTAGCCCACATGAAACCAATGGAAGCCGACCCTCCAAAATGAAAAGTCAGGCTGCAGCTCGCGAGGTCTTGGCCAGCCGCTTTTGTTTGTTGCCGTTAGCCACTTCTCGAGAACGGAAGCCACACAATATCCTAAGTCAAGTTGTTTCTTGGCCATTGGCCCATTGGTGTATTCACCGGCGCCTTTTGAAGCCGAGATTTTTCCAACTACCGCTACCGACTTGCCGACGGGAAGCGGGCGGTGGTCTACGGCCTGGTGCTGGCCAGCGGCTTTGATGAGGGCCTGCTGGTGGGAGTGTGCACCAAGGAAATGATGAGCCTCGGAGGTTTTTGCCAAACGCATCTCTGATGCTTGGGTTTTTGTTTAGGTTTCCAAAAGGTGGGGAGCGAGGTTTTCGGCTCGGAGCTGTGGACGAAGAACCGGGGTGGAGCTTGACACTGGGCGGGGCGGAGCGGTGCTGGGGCGACGCAGCGGGTTGACGGATCCGGGGCGGAGCGATGCTGGGGAGACGCAGCAGAAGTATCTTTGTTGATCCAAACATGCTTCCAAAACGTTTGTTCTATTGATTTTGAGTGATACTTGGTTTCTTCCAAACCTGCAGGGGAATCAATGCTTGCTGGTTTGTTGGGGTATGGGTTCTGTCGTGGTGAGATCTGAGTTGCGGACGGCCCCCGTGAGCAGTTGAGTGAAGCCATGGCAGGTTTGCCTTTCCCGAGCAAAAGAGTTGTTCTTTAACAACCGAGCTGCGTTGAATCAGGAACATGTCTTGGAAGGCAGAATATGCATGGGGCTGAGTTTGCAGTTGGAAGCTTTCATTGACACGGCCAATGGGAAGTTGGTCATGAGCCACAATCCTGTAAGCGTGCTACAATTTCCATGGCCTGGAATGAGCTGACAAAATATCTTCCGCTGCAGAAGCTCGCAGAAGCAACTGCTTCCACACAAGCCCCACTTCATGCGTTTGGCAGCGCCGTGATATACAGATATCTCCAAGCCTCCTGTATTGTGCTGAATAGTTTGATAAAATGAGACCTTTTACGCACACGGCTTCATGTGTCAGCCTCAGAACTTGAGAATCGTGAAGTGTGCGGGTGAAGCCTTGGAACAACTCAGACTTGGCCGGTGCAATCCTTTGCCAATCAAAGTTGTTGAGCTGGTGGTTTGGGTTGGCAGGTTGGCAAGGTACGGAGAAATGCACCAGCAGCTCCAAGCCGATGCAACCTTCGAGCGGGTTCAGTAGAAAAATCAAGACTTGACCCAGGAAAGACGTGGACTTTACAGACCGAGACACCTGCGAAGGCAGGGGCTCCATGGTAGTGAAAGACGACGACGACTGCAAGTGGCTTGACTTAAAGGTCTGGATCCAGCTAGGCGTGTGCCCGTCTCACAAAACGGCTCAACGGCTCAGGAAACTATTTTGCAAAATTTGAAATGTTCGGGCAACAGTCCAGCAATGGGCAAGGCGAGAACCTGTTGCAAGGCAAGGGGCGGAGCTGATGGGAATGAACCGTACGGTCGACTTTTGCAATTGCTTGCACCGATCGCATTCAGTGGAAGTACATGCAAAGGTGAGAGGTAAAATGACCCGAGCACGAAGGGCCCACCCATCCCTAGGAAAAGAGGGCGGCAATGGCCTGAAAACCGGTGGCTTGGGAATGGCCTAGACGAGTCTGTTCAGATGAGGGGGGCCAGTGGGCTGATGGATACATAAGGAGACTTCATGTTCTTGTGAAGGAAGAGCGGTTGCCTTGATATGGATTCTGTGACCAACTTTGCCCCGCAGGTGTGAAACTTACCATGGTTGCTTTTTGAATCCACGTGAAAGTTGTTGTGAGACCTTTGCTTGTTTACACATGGACGTCGCTGTTGCTTAGCAACCTGTCTGCTAACTGCTGGAGCCGAAAGTTTGTCGAAGGTGAGCTCATAGCCAGACGTTTGTCGAAATTTACCAATTTGCTAGTTATTCAATGCGGAAAGAGCGGTGCACGCTTGACTAGTGTTTGGGGCTAATGTTCGGCTCTCATTTTGCTGTTCAGTTGATGAGATCTCGTGTCTTTTGCAGGAAACTTGCAGGGTAAGGCATTTAATGGTTGATGTCGCATATCCTTCGTGGACGTGACGTCAAGTGGCATGGACATGCATGACGGAGCTACATGTTTGGAAACATCTACCTCATGTGTGTTCTATTTCAGTGGCACGACGCCTCTCGCCAGTGTGTCTGCTGATGCTCTCACCAAGTATCCTAATTGGAACCCCGGATCAATTGATCCATCCATAATTGGGGGGGTGTTCCCCTCCAAAGTGATGAATCCCCCACGAGGGGAACCCCCTACGAATCCACCAGATAATAAATCCGAGGTCAACATCCTCTTTGCACCGGAGAGCCGAGGTACCAGATGCTGCTGGCTGAGGTCGACTCCTTCCGGCTATCAGACTCCAACCTGTGCGAAGTGTACCTCTGCGGGCCCGGTGCTCGGATGGGGTAAGAGCCACGCAGAAGTTGGGTTTTGGCCTATTTTTTGGATTCCCGTGCCGAAGGGCGGGGTGCTTGGTGTCGGGGGAAGCACAGTTGTTCCCCCCTTCACAGTTGGTGTTTGCCCGGTAGAAAGTCCCAGAGGCAGACTTCGCTTATTCGCGATTGATAAAACAGACATTATCCAAGTGCATGGTAGGTAAGCGGAGCAGCTTGCTTGCCTGAGCAAAGAAGGTTGCGGCGAAACATGCCTCGCTTAGCCGCTTGCGCTTGCCCATTCAGGTAGCAAGAGGCTCCAAGTTAAACATTGACAGAGCGTTTCAGTTGGATCCTCGGGTTTTTCAGTTTGAAGAACGCAGGCATACGCATCAGTCGGAATGAATCTGCTGGGTTGACAAGTTTCAAGGTGGAAAGTAGTGACTTTTGGTGCACAGACGCTCACCCGGAGGACGGGACGGGCCGTGGCGAGATTGTTCAACATGTCCAAGAACACGACCGTCTACTCTGAGCACTGCAGCGAGATCATGTACGCGAGCATGCCAGATAAGCGCACCTATCAAGGAGGGGACAGTTGAGAGGCCAGGGATGGCTACATCCTTTGGCCGATTTGAGTTAGAGGTTCAATTCCGTGTGTTGGCTTTCCCGAGCATTGTATCAACTTCAGATGTCTTTTCACTAGAACCAATGTAAATGCGTCAATCGAGAGCAAGCAGTGTCGAGTCATGGTTGCGGTATCACACCGAGTTCTGTGGCTCATGATTCTCAGGATTTCTTTCTGAGTTAATTACATCTCGAAAGATATTTGTTAGTCATGGATTGTGTTTGGCAAATGCATGTGCGCGGGGTACCATTTTCCAGAGATACCTTATTTTTCCGACTTGTCCTGTCAGCCTTGGTGATCAACGCGGAGTGGGTGAGATAGCTGCATCCGGCTCTCAGCCGACAGATTGTCTGGTTGCTGATGGAACATGCTGTTCACTTTATGAAGATCAGTTGCCCAAAGATGAGAAGCTTTCGGAAGGTATCAGAGAAGAGAGTTGAAATGGCACCAAAGCAACAACGATCAACGACCGTGAATGGTTTTACACGTATCTGTTGAATCTTGGTAGCACACCTCGGATGGACGCTCATATTTCAGGAGGTTCTGCGCTGATGATGCCCAAATTCGTGGGGCAGTTTCCCATGTGCCACAACTATGCTGGGCGTAAAGATGAGGCGGGGCAGTTCGGGCCCTTCTTTTGGTGGAAGTGGACATGCCACAACTGTCAGCGTCCTACTTGGCGGAAGGCGTTTCCGGGCAAACTCAGCGTAAGTCCTTTCGTAAGCCGGCCTAAGATGCAATTGATCAAGCTCATTCCTGCACAAAGGGCTGGTAGGGATGTTTATTAGCCTGACATAGGTGCTTTAGACAACCATTCAGTATGAGCTGAGGGCTTAGTGGCTGACCCAGCCTCATCCATGGCTCACATCCTGCGAGGATTGACCTTGCACACGTGGCATATACATGGAAGAGCTGATGTTGCCTGTAAAGCTTGTTTATGGTCTCTGACTGCCTCATTGAGATCCTTGGTCAAAGCAACACTGCACTTGGATAACTCACCGGAGCCTCTGGACATTGCTTGCCGAGCTGGGAATGCATTCGCATGTGTTTGCTCGTGCTACCCAAAAATTGTCGGTCGCTGCAGCTTTATATGATTTGGAAGCTTATGGAGTGGTTTACTGCATCTCCTCATGCATGCTTCTGTGAATATAGGAAGCTTTCTCTCTTGAGGGCCTCAGCCAGAAACCATTGGCTATTGGCTTCAGGTGTCCTGTTGGATGGCTGGCCCTTCCTCTCTATGCCTTTCCCCAAATTGATCAGAGACGTCCCGTCTCGGGTCGGGGCCCGAGCGCCCGGGCGCGGTAGGGGTGCGGCTCTAGGCGTGCCGGGAGCAGAGGGAGGGCTGGGAGATCATCATGGAGCTGACGGACATCCACAAGCCCTGGACTGGAGGGGAGGGAAGAGGGCTATTTATGTGTGTTGATACAGTATTGCCTACCCCCTCCCCCCCGGAAAAAACATACTCAGGTTCTGGCCTTGGCCAGATTGGGGGTGACAAATGCCTTCAGACTCTGAACTGAATTGACAGGACGCCCGCAACTCCTTGCAAACTCCAACCAAGCAGAAGTTGAGCTAGACGTTGAAAAGGAGTTCCTATTTAAACTGCTCGAAAGTCACATTGGCGCGCGCGAAGTGAACTTAAATTCACATTGGGATATGCGAGGTGCACTTTGGAGGCTTCAGTTCAACAAGCACCACTTTTCAGCACAACAGTGGTGCGCAAAGTTTTTCTTTGGCAGCTTCAACGTGCCTGCAACAGCTCTATTGTTTGGTGTTCTTCTTTTTGTTTGTCAGGGAAGTTCAGCAAATCATCAACTTGGGAGAAAAGGAACTCATTTCTACTTGCAACTGACATCCAACCCAAATATAAACGTGCTTCAGGTTCATGTCGTGGTGCAGTTGCATTTGCGTTTTACTTCAAGTTTAGGTGCGCAGTTCCATACACATTCCAATTAAGTTCATTAAAGTCAAATTTGCAAAGCAACTATCTCAGTTGCGCGTTGCTTGTCTAATTTGATTTAGCCATTGTCAATATCAACTATTGAAGTTCAAATATAGGAGGGATATTCATTTTAAGATGCTTGCGAGTTCAAATCAAATTCTTCTTTGACCAGTTGCAGTTCCTTGTGCGTTTCAAACAACAATTGGACAACACAGCCATTGTCATGGCCAGTTGAAACTGGAATCAAGCTCAATTTCAATCTGTTATTGCCCTTGTCCTTAACTAGCTCCATGTGGTTTTAACCAAGCGAGAACTGAGCCAAACCAACAACAGAAACGTGTTTTCCAGCATAGACTTGATTGTTCGCATAACATGCTGTAAAATCGTGGTGTTTTGCAGCATTTGCTCCGATCGTGTTGCCTGGGATCGAAGGTCGCATATTCAAGATTCCACATAAATATGTTCAGAACCTTCTCAATCCTGGCCCGCCAACAGCTGGACAGTTTTTTCCAGACTTTGAAAGCTTTGCTCACTTGCATTGAAGATTGATTTTCTCCCAGATGTTGTGTTTTGAGAACCTTCCATCCTGGCCAGCCCTCAAGACCCCAACAAACTGTAAAGTTGCTGTCCCTGGCAAAATGCATGCGGTGCACATCCACAATTTGATTCTTGGAACGTGCACTCCTTCTTTTTGGATTCTTCAAGTCCATGCTTAAGGCAATCCAGGATGCGCTAGCACTCTCAAGTTGTTTTTTCTTCGTGACACATGGCATTTGTGATCGAGCTGGGGTGCATTACACGATCCCTAGATTCCCAAGCCACCCTACCACTCGTTTGCAAAGCTGTCAAAGGCGGTCAATCCTTCGAGAAGCCCTGAGACACGTTAAACAGACCTTACAAGATTCTTTTCAAGATCCTGGCGGAATTGGAATAGGCAAATTCTAAACAAAAAGCTAATCTAGCGATTTCTTCCACCGACCTCTCCTCGTATTAGGCAACCCTCTGCCCTCAGTCAGTCAGCAAGCACTCCTTTTGAAGAAAGAACAGGTCGGGGTTTAAACGTGCATCCCTTACTTAAAAACATCATCATTGGAACATATGTTGGCTGTGTGAATGACCAAACCCACCCGGGAACCGTCATCAACAGAAGTTTAGAAAGAACTTCCGTGTTACGGTGCGGTGCAGATTTCGTGGCAGCCGCAGCGCTTTCGCAAGGTCAGGTACGGATTTGGTGGCAGGCGCGATACTTTTAGATAGTTAGATAGATTCCCGGACCAGATAGATAGATGGACAGATAGACAAACAGAGATAGCTAGCAAGATAGCTAGATAGATAAGTACAAAGACAGATATATATATATATATATATATGTATAGCTAGATGAGTAGATAGTGGCAGAGATGGAGAGGTAAATAGCGGGATGGACGGATTGATGGATGGGAGGATAGATTGCTGGCTAGATGGGTAGACAAGCAGACAGCTAACTAGGTAGACAGATGGATAGAAAGACAGATGGCTGGAAAGATAACTGCCAGATAGATAGATAGATAGATAGGCTGATGGAAAAGGTAGATAGATAGACAGATAGTTAGATAGATAGAAAAGATAAATCGATAGATAGATGGATAGGCCGATAGACAAAATGGTTTGAGACATGAATTAGATTTGCTAGCCAGGTTCAGATGGATGGATGGATGGATGGATGGATGGATGGATGGATGGATGGATGGATGGATGGATGGATGGATGGATGGATGGATGGATGGATGGATGGATGGATGGATGGATGGATGGATGGATGGATGGATGGATGGATGGATGGATGGATGAAGGGATTAGTTAGACAGATAGACAGATACGTGGACAAACAGATCGAGTAGGAAAGAAATAAAGACAGAAAGAAAAGAAAGACAAGCAAGACAGAAAGAAAGAAAAAAAGAAAGAAAGAAAGAAAGAAAGGACAAAAAGAGTTAAGCAACAAAAGAGAGAAGAAAGGAAAGATAGAATATTGCACAACAGAAAGACAGAAAGGCGGGAAGACAGAAAGAAATAGAAGTAGAAGTGGAAAGAGAAAGGGACAGAGAACAGGAAAGCAAGATAAGAACAAGACAAAGAGAAAGAGACACAGAAGAACAGAGAGAGAGAGAACGAGAAAGATAACAAGAAAGAGAAAGAGAAAGAGGAAGAGGAAGAGGAAGAGGAAAAGGATTGAGAATTGAAAGCAGCAGAGAAGAGAAAACCAGAGAGAGAGAGAGAGAGAGAGAGCGAAAGGAAGGAAGAGGAAACAAAGAGAAAGTGCAAGAAAACTATAGTTCTTCTATGATTGAAACATTCCAATGGCTGCGCCGGCTCTACTGGTAATACAAGGTTGTTTTCAATGTGTTTGTAAAGCCTGGGGGGGGGGGGGGCGGCCCCTTTTTTTTTTCTTAAATCAGGGGAGCCGGAGAAGTTAAAAGAGAACCCATTGATCAACCTGATGGATCAACACCTGAGATTGTATCGTTTTGCTGCCTGGCATCTTGACA